ACTTTTCTTACATATCATGATGATCCTGAAAAAAATGTCATAACTCACTTTGTTAATCGATACCGATGTTCATCATTAGACATAAAAAAAGGATGAAGTTCATGAGCTCATGTGATATTAGATACAAAAAACAGTATGGCTGTCTAAACACTAATGTGCTTACAAATTCAAATATTTTTTGTCTCCAGTTTAAGTTATTTATACGCCCATCCAGTTGAGTTAGTTGGGGATGTTTTCCGCTGTCTTGTACCAATTCTTAGAAACCAAGATGGTCAAGTGATCACACCACTTCTAGCAACCGGTGATCAGGTGAGTATTCAAAATATGCCTCGGGTTAACTCTTGTAGTACTGTAGAATGATTTATTTTCACTTGGAATTGATTTTCAAGTGAAAATACAGTGAAAATCCTATTTTTTTTATGAATTATATGGATTTAATGATAAATTTGATTACCGTAAAATCTGTATTAGAAGCCGCATCCCTAATAGAAGTTGCACCCATTCTTTTTGATTAATTGAGAACCAAAATTTCACCATTTCCCATATGTGTGGATGCTCTAATAGAAGCCGCATCCCCTCTGTTGCATTGTACTATTTTAATAGAAGCCGCAGCTTCTAATATAGTTTTTACTGTAGTATCGATTTTATGACTAACATACAACTAACATTTTCAATATATGTATCTAAACGAAATTTGCGGATATGACAAAACATTGTTACGATAGAAACCAATTAATGGTAAATTGCACAAAAATCATCATTTTTTCGTGGATGTATGACAAATATTTTATGCAAAAAGTAATTTGATGACTTTACTTTTCTATCAGGAATTTGTAAGCATAAAATATAGCCATATGATAAAATCAAGGAAATCATCTGAGTTAGTTTGATAACAGCAACTATAGCTTTATTTTGATGTAAAATTGTTGATTTCAGGGTTATTCTGAGACTGTTATGTTGAAGGGTATGATTGACGCCGCTGTCAATTGGATGAAAGCTGGCCTTCCACTCAGGCTACTGAAAATAGTCGTTTTCACACGATCGGTCAAAGAAGGCAAGATGGATTCTGCTAATAAGAAGCATTTTAAGGGAATTTTATCTCTTTTTACGGCTCTCAAAGAACAATATGAATCTAAGGAAATTGAAGAGAAGGTAATTATAGAGATGATAAGTTGCCATAGCAGCATAAAATCATGTTAATTTTGTTGATACAGAATAACATGTTTTGTGCTCCTGTAATAGTGCATGCAGGGTATAATCTAGTGACCAAGCATTGAAATGTGAACTTGCCCCCTTAAGTAAGCTTTCTCTTTTCACTAGACTCCCTGGACATAGGGCATTTTTGAAAGTGACAACAAATCATGAAGTGGAATTTCTGTCATGATTAACATGAGGTGGTTGAATTGTTAAATTAAACTGATTTTTGAGAGATTGAATTATTAGTCTGGGGTTTAGTAAAAAATAAACTTGTCTAAATGCTACACATATGGCAGGCCTGAATTTCATGACAAAATTGTCATTTTGTTCATTTTGGTTGACTGTATCTCATCCTAGAGAAGGCCTTTGGTGGTAACATGGTTGTACAAATAAAGATTGTCAAGGAAGGAAATTACAAATGGAGAAAGTGTGAAACATGGAGAGAAAACTCAGATGGAAGATTTAACTAGTTTTACTCTTTCAAAGTTGGTTGATAGCATCTGTCGACATTTCCTGCCATGAGGATGAATTATTAGAGATCTAGAGAAAAAACAAAGTTATTGGCCCAATACTTATACTTTATTAAACACATAAAATTCCCCAGGAGAAATTAAAATGGTTACATTTACACTAAACAAAACTAGACTAATAATAAAAACATTAAGACTAAAGTAATGATTAAAAAAAAAAAATAATAATCAAAATAAAAAGAAATAAAAAAACACGAATAGTATTATATCCAACTAACAGCAATAATAAAGGTAGAAGAAACCATTGTTAAAAAGTAATAACAATAATAATGCATTAAGGGTTAAAAATCTTGGAGGTGTTGCTGTCTTAAGTGGAGGGCAGTTTTAGACCTTGATACATCAATAGAGGGATCAAGGTTATGATTATGCTAGTACAGACACTTCAGGAATCAGAAAACAGTATTTGGAGTTAAACTTGAGTAATGTAAAACGAAAATGCAATTCCATGTTTTTCCGACGAAGTCTTGACTGACAATAATGCTGACAGTGGACGTTAGATAAACACACATTGTTTGTGACAGGAAGCTTATATCACCTGTTATGTCAGAATCGCTAACAACAGATAAACATTGTGCAAATATCCACGAAACAGCAGTTCTAGTTATTTGTGTTAGCGTTTAAAACACTAATTTTAGCAACGTCTTTCCTAAATTTTGATCCTTTGAAAAGCCTGGGTGATGTATCAAGATCTAAAGTTACCATTCTATACATTTTTGAAAAATCAATAAAAAAATTAAAATTTCTCTATTTGCTTTTTAAGATGTTATAATATTGAGGCTATCATGTGATTTTTTTCTGCAAAGTATGCACGTAGGCAGTATGTTGATCATATCGCCCAATGTGAATAAACATCTTCGTCCAGTGTAAAAAAAGGAAAGTGTTGAAATGTGTATCCTTAAATGCGTACAACCTTGAAATGAGCGCAGATACATTTCAGAATTAATGCAGATTTGGAGTTTCGCTGAATGTTATAATAATACTTGTTCTGTTCCAGAACGACACCATTGAATTTGATGTCTACATTTCGTACAGTGAGAAAGACCTTGGTGTAGTGGACACGATACAGGGCCTACTTATGAAGGAGAAAAAAGACATCAAGATATTCTCAGAACAACAAGACTTGGATACCACTTGTGTCTGGCAAGAAAACATGTACAAGGTCATGGTGAAGTGTGCCAAAATCATAACAGGTACAGTGTCTCATACTACAACTACCCCCCTTCCCCATACATGGAAATTTAAAAACCTGAAAACCAGGAATATTTTGCAAATAGAGCCAATTAAGAAGCATAATTAGTTTGTCTACTCTTTAGAATGCATGTTGTACACAGTATTGTGACAGGAGATAAAACTTCCAAAAATAAAAATGATTATTAAAACCACACCTTTGCTTGAAATATTAGAAAATTCATGTGTGTGTAAATTACTTCAAAACTTCGGTTTTTTCTAAATTCCACTCACAAATCTAAGATTTGGTTTTTCTGGTATCATATTAAAGTTGTTTAAAAAAAAAACAAAAAACAGTTGTTACGTATTTGTGTATGATTCTGTGCCTTGATATAAGTTTCAATTTTAAGTGTATAAATTGTACCATGGCTTGAATAGAATCTTGTGTTTCATAAACTGGATTATTTTTGTATTAAATATTTCTTTAGCTATATATGACTCCAAGTTGCTCGTTTGATTGAGTGTGGGGCTCACATGGCTGTTTGACGTGAATGTAGCAGTATGCAAAGTCAAGTAAATGATGCTTTATCTGTAAGTTTTGACCCATTAAATTTCTGTATAACTTTAATTTCAGTTTTAAGCCCAGCCTACCTGACATCGGCCACGTGTACAGAACAGTACAACATTGCATTATGCGTCAACAGAAAGACAAATCGAGATCGGCTGGCACCGTTCTACGTAGAACAGATCGAACTTCTCCCATCCTACATGGGATTAGTACAGTATGTAAACTGCAGGTAAATGCTGGCAGACATATTTTTTACGATGCGTCAATTTGTATTCCAGATATTTGATATGCAATCTTTATATGCTGATTGTGTTTTATATGCTGTCAAAGTTTTTGACAAATGTTAGGGTAATTTGTCTTCATTCAACCTGATTTTTATCTGTGTCAATTGTTGCAGTGGTTTGTTAACATGGGCTAGCAAAAATAACTCAACTGATTGGCTTAATTTCAAAATTACGCTACTTATTTCCAAGGTCCATTCACATTCTACTTTTTAATTCTCCCACATTTATCTTATGGTTTAGAAGTCTGGAGTAGTACTTACCGCTCTTCCCTCGATCCAATTTATAAAAAACAAAAGAAACTGGTACACATTATAATGTTCAAAGAGAGACTCACAGACAGCAAACCTCTCTTCAATTTGCTGGGTTTTCTTGAACATTTATGACCAACACAAGCTCCAGCTAGCAACAATAATACCCACCTGTGATCTAAGTAACTATTTCTCTTTTCCTGGCCATTCATGTCAAACTAGATACTTATCAAATGAAAACTTTGCCTGCCTACATAAAAGAACTAACATTGGTCAATTTTCCCTGGATTACTTTGGAACCAAATTGTGGAATAGCCTTCCTAACCATATTATAAATATTTCAAATCGCAATACTTTAAAGCAAACATTAAAAGTACATTTAGCCAACTCACATAGTTAGATTTTTATTTACATACTGGTGGTGATTAACAACTACCATCTGAAACTTGATTGTGAACTGAGTTTATTGCATTTATATTTACATTTATTGTTATTTCTATTAGATTGTATAAATGTAATTTTATTTCTTAACAAAACGCCAGCCAAAATGATTATTTAGCTCGATCAGTATTCCGGAGCAGATTAGACTAGCTTCACCTAAGCTATTTTCTGCTGCCTAACCATTACTGCTCATCTTACATAGTTATATACATTAATTCAATGTAGATTTCCTCCATCTTGATTTTAATAGCTATCTATCCTCTAGCATAATAATAAATAAATAAATAAAATAAAGCTTTGAAAGTTGTTATTCATGGAACTTAATAAATATATGTAAATGCATACAATATTCCTTGGGTTTAAATTCACTATTTTCACTGATAAGTAAATTCCACTAAATCTAAATAACAATAAAACTCATTGTTTCCTAGACAATTTTGTGAAATTATAAATATGAGTGAATATGCTCAGAACATCAAAATAATGAAATTAAATGTCAGTGAAAATAAATAGTTACTACAAAATACAGGGAACTTATCACTTCTGTGGCTTTTTCTAAATCATGATTTACTTGGGATGTAGGTTCATGGAAATATGCAGAAAATAAATCCATTACATATGCAATGCAGCACATTGCAATAGTGTAGCTATAATAGTGATGATGCTTTGCCACTATTGAAACAGTGTTAAATATAATGTATCTGATGTATTCTAATTGAGGAGGGAGTGAACATTTTGATTCTAAAGTTTGTTGACATTTTACAGTAAAAAATGTGGTTTTAATTTTGTTTTTGTCTACAGTCCACATGACAAGCTGAAACTAGCTACTGCATGCCATCAAGTCATTGTAGCTCTAACTCTGGAAGTTACCATGGTTACACAGAAAGGACAATCTATAAAGAAGAGGAGCGACTTAAATTATGATGTCTTTATTTCATATTCGCACAAAAATTCACAACAAGCAACGGCAGTTTTAAATAAACTCACAAATCTTAATCCAGATCTGAAGATTTTCTTCGATAAAGAGGAATTGAAAACAGGTATGGAAAAAACTATGGATAAAAATTTATATTATCATGGAAAATGCTGTCTGGAAAAAACAGGTTCTCATATTGATGCTTTGATTATATTTTTAGCTCCGCTGTCGACTTTGTCGAGCGGAGCTTATCATATGAGTGACTGTCCGTCGTCGTCGTCCGTCGTCGTCGTTCGTGTCAATGTTTTACTTTTTCGACTTCTTCTTGAAAACTACAAGCCTGAATGCTTTCATACTTGGTGTATATGTACCTTGAGTAGACCTCTCTCAGATTTGTTCATTTCATGATGATATCTTCAATTCTCTAATTTTGGTGAATATTTTTGTCATTTTTGGTAAAAAGTGATATTTTCAACTTCTTGTTAAAAACCGCAAGTCCAATTGCGTTGATATTACATATATAGGTACT